TGGGAGAGTGCTGGGTATGGGGCCAAAGGAGCTCCTCTGCACCCACACGGTTCTGGTCCGCAGTTTCACAGGGTCCCTAGTAACACTTCATGGTTCAGAGCTTCACTCCTGGCACGTTCGTGCAATGCCAAGCAAACAGCAGCTCTGTTAATTCCTGGCAGCGTTCGCCGCGCCAGTTAAATCAACCTACCAGTTGTTTCCTGTGGATGCTGACGATGTGGATGTCCTCGCTGCGGTATTCCTCGTCGTGTTTATCCAGGGGAATTTTTTCCAGCTCAAAGTCCATCTTAAGCAGCTGGTTATCAGACAGCACACAAAACAATTCAAATGCCACTGACTGCCCTTTTGAACCAAGCAAAAAATCCCACAATATCCCGCACGAGGACAAGAAGCCTCAGGATGCTGGAGCCACCACTCAGACCACTCCACTAAGACCTCCACAAACCATTTCCATCCCCTGTGCAGCACGGGGTTGGGAAAATCCCCCCTAACTACTCCAGTGCCAATTCAAAGCTACAGACATCTCGCAGTATTTAAGAAAAAAATCTAAGCGCTTTTGATAAAACGTTTTGCTTCCTCCAAAGCGCTCAGCCAAACCACAGCACCTGCCCCTGTCTGCCAGCCTCAACGGAGGGAGGGAAGAAGTGAAAAAAAAAACCCAGCCCCAAAGTTCTCGAAAGATTAACTGAACCCTGGCAGGCTGAGGAAGGAAATAAATCACAAGGAGGCAGAAATCATCCAGAAACACCTACACCTATTGTGTTTACTGTGGGAGTGGCACCTCATCAGAGCAGATCTCGATTACAGCAACTCTTGCAGTCAGGTCCCAAGAGTTGGAGGCATGGCTAATTATCAACATTATTAACACCTACAAATGGCCCTGGAATTCTTGCCCTTCCCCTTTTTTGTAGTGCTGTTACTTCATACAACCCAGTACTCCTGCACAAGGGCTGCTTTTCAGGAGATTTCACAGGTGCTGAGTCAAATCCTGCACTGACCCTCACCCCCACAACCTGGTCAGGGACTCAAACCATCTGCAAAGTCTCCACTGATAAGCTGGAAAATAACTTGAGTCACCATCCAAATCTTCCGCCCCATCTAAAGACAAACTATTTCTCCTGCTACAAACTCCACTTTGTGCAGTCAACCTGACTTTGTACATGCAGCGACGTCCAGCTGATCCAATACAAAGTCCTCCTTACATCCAAGCTATTCTCGTAGTGTTTAAAAAGCACAAGTTAAAACCCTTACCTCAAAGTATTTCCTCTCTATTTCAGGGTTCTTCCCCATAGTCCTCTGTTCGTAACAGCACAAGACGCAAGTATTGGGGCCAGTGAGGTCTTTCAGTGTCTTCAGCAGTGGTCCCAACGACTGCCCAAAAGAGGTTATACATTTCCCAGTTAGTTTTCAAGTTCATTTTACTGGTATGATACCCTCTAACTACAGAAAGTCTTCACCCAAGAGGGAAGCTTCCAGTTTTGCTTTTCAGGGAGTTATTTTTAGTACTTTATCTAGGACAAAAAGACCATGGGGGCAAGCTGGAAAGCAGAGGAGAAAGTGAGACTGCACAGGAGAAGAGTGTCACAGACTGACCAAAAAAACTGAACTAGCATCAAAGCCAAAAACACCCCATGCTGCTGAGTGCGCACCTCATGGAGGCACACAACTATTTCTTGACATGTTTCAGAAGTGAGAATTTCCTCAATCACTCTTGGAAGGTGGCTCAGATCCAGACGTATGGAAACAGGAGCAACGCAAGGAACTGGTAAGACCACCGACAGGCCACTGGGAGACGGGGGTTTTCAGGGCATTTCCCTTTTCTTCCAATTTCTGTTAGCTCTCTGTGCACATCCTACACAGCTCCAGCTCAGGAGATGGGGCAGACTACAGCAACTGCTTGGCTGGAGCATCACTTCTCTGTTTACCTTTCCAAGGGAAGCATGAGGAGAACCCAAACACTGTAGATGTGGCACTACTAAATTTCATTTGCCAATACATTTGGCAGTTCACTAGTATCAGTGACAATGTTTTGCTTAACACTTCATCCCAAGGTAAACAACCACAAAAAAGTGCCCCTCCAGTATTAAGTGGAGTTTTTTTTTTTTAAACATAAGTCTCCAGCTGAATCTCAAATGGCCTTGAATCTGTTAAAAATACCTTTTCCAGTCTTGTTCTACACATTCCTCTAAACTATGGGGACTAAGATGCAAGCACAGTATTTATTTGAATACTTCTGTTAAACCCACACCCTTCCCAAGGAAGCTTTCTACGTGAGTTTTGCAAAGCCCCCATTTACCTCCTCATAGTAAATGCAATCAGCCATGAGTATATAATCAGGAGGCGGCTGAAATTCTGTTACATCTTCACCCCTAAAAAGAAGCCAAAAAAATGGTGAAAACAAGTTTCAATGACAACACAACACATACTGCTAAAGGACTGAGCACAACGTTTACTTGTTTTGATACAGAGCTTCTCTTAAAGAGCAGTGATTCCAAGAATATTTGACAATTTAAAAGAGCTTGAACAGAAGCATTAAAGGATCATACAAACCATTTCAGTACCTTGGCTCGGACTGACCCTGTGACCAGATGTTTGTTGTTCTCTATATTAACCAGCAACAGCTCCTGCAGCTCCTCAAGGTCGGTGACCGTCACGTTTGCCCTGTAACACACACGGCGCCACGGCCCAAACCACGCATTTTCTACGAGAACTTCAAAGATTTCACAGCGATAATATAATAAAAGGGGGGTAAAAGGTGGAGAAACAGGCAGCGGGGAGCCGAGCCCCCGGCCGGCGCCGCTCACCCC